TTTTTTTTTTTTTTTTTTTTTTTTAAATCACTCTGCTTTTTCTTAATGATGTGGCAACAAAACAAACGAGGGCATTGGGGTTTTTACAAGCTTCTGGGCTCTGCTAGTTGCCACATGGGGCTGGGAAGGACTTTTCCCTCCTCCTCTTGCTACAAGAGTCAGAGGTTTTTTGGTCCTCCCCATTCACCCCTTTTCCCCCCTTTTAGAAGTAGTAGTGGGTGTTTGTTGCACCAGATTAAGAGCAGGTCCCTGAAAACACTGGTATCAAGGTACCTCCTCTTATCCATTGCACGGGACACATGCAACATGGAGCTACGTATACAACTGGTGAGCATGATGATTTATTATTTGTGTTGTAGTAGTGTCTAGAAACGCCAGTCCTGGAGTGAGACTCCATTGTGCTGTGAAAAGAGGGCAAGGGTGGCCCTTTCCCCAAGGAGGTTACAATGAAAGAAGTTGTTTAACATGGGGACAGTTAGGAGAATGAGCTTAAACTAATAAAAGAGGTGAATTTAAAGTGGCTTAATTGAACCACATTCAATCCCTGTGCAGGCACTCTCTTATTGTGAATTCAAGCTTCTTGAATTAAATTTAGCTCAGTTCGTGTACAAGTGCACTAAAATGAACGACACTATGGTCACTTTATTCTGAATAAGAGCCTCTAGCCAGCGATTTAATGTGATATAATTAAAACTCTTCAAACACTGAGGTGGGTTAATTTCCCTGACCGCACCCATCTGGACAAGCAACATCAGATGGCTGGAGAAAAATTGGATAACAAAAGAGCACCAATGAGCAGGACAAAACAGGTAGATCTGGTGTAGATTTGAGGACGTGTAGGTCACCGTGCATTTTTTTTTGTGTCAAAACAGTAAAATCCAAGGGCGCTTACACACGACCACAGAGGTGTCGGAGCGGACCCAGTTGATCGACTCTACCAACGCGTGGCAATTACCGTGCTCCAGCAGCATCTTGTGCACCAGTGTCCCCGTGCTTAAAAATGGCAGCAGGGGCACTTGACCTAAAGTTTGTCAAATAAGCTTTAGTTCAAGCACCTCCGCCACCACTTTTAAGTGCAGCGATGCTGATACACGAGATGCAGCAGCATTGTAATTACAGTGACTCTTGGAGTGGCTCTTTGCAAGGTTTGGGGCTCTTGGAGCCACTTTAATTAAAGCGCTGCCCCCCCACCCCCAGAGCACCTGTAAAAGTGCCCCGAGGTTTCTGTAGAAAACCGTCTGAAAATGTGGTGGCTTTGTTCTACGGTAGTTTCTGGTGGAGAATTTTGTCGACTGTAAGTCGTAAAGCAAAATGGTGGCAAATAGAAAGTGAAACCCTCCCAGAAGAAGGTTTGTGGTGACCTCTGCTAAACAACATGGGTAAGGCTTTGCTAGCTATGCTAAACCCATACTGATCCCTGGGCCATCTCTACTGCCCTTGTGAAGTTTAGAAGACTTTAACCCAGTGACGCGGTTCACCGAGTGCGACAGATCCTGTGAACTGACTTCTATGGAGGAACATGGTTGTAGACCTGGGCCAGTGGCCCTCAGGAGTTGGAGGGCCCAGAAGCATTTGCTAAGTGCAAACTGGAGTGAACCCAGAACGTACCGAGCAATGTACTGTTCAGAGGAGCAACCTGACATCCAGGCATCCACCAGCCTGCAAGCTGTAATCCCAGCAGAGACAGGCCTCTGGGGCTGGTCTTAAGTTATTGATGTCACTGGGGCTTTCCTGTGCTGTGCCAAGAGAGCCAGACCAGCGCCCCTCTGCTTCCAAACACCCGCATTTGGAAAAAATTGCCTTTGTTTTTCCCCCTCCTCCATGGCATGGAAATTAATTAAACCTCTAGAAAGGCTCACTGGCTTTGGCACATTCTCCTGGACAGCAGAGCATGCAGGTTTTAATTTAAGTTTGCACATAAATTCTCCTTCTGGGACTGAAAGCTTGTCAACATGGAGAGAGGGTATTTCCAATCAGGTTAGAAAGGGCTGGAGAGAACAGCATCTTTAACAGGAATAATCCCTGGCACCTACTTACCAACCTGCAAGCTATAATCACCACAGGCAGAGACTCAGATCTGGCCTTCTAGTGAGAAGCAATGGGGTGAGGTGCTCCTAAAGGACTGTAATTGCTGTTGCAGGGATAGGAGCCAGCTTACCCAGCACCTCCTGGCTGGAGGTGACAGTGGCAGGTGATGGTGCAAAGGCCGTTAGGAAGAATGATGCACGGATGGCATCATAGAGAGAATGACATGGAAGAGTGACTGCAGAGATGGCATCCTATTAAAGGGACATCTCCATTGGAAAATCATGCCAGCCAGCAAGGATGCTGGAGCCAAGGACTATGGCCTGAGATACTATGGGGGGGGAGTGTTTCACTTTTAACCCAACTACACACTTAATGGGTTGCTGTCTTTTCCCAAATTAATACCGCATTCTTTTTCCCCCTTAATATGGTTTTCCTTGTTTCAGTGCTTCCATGAGAGAGAGCATCATCTATTCAGGGAAAGTATTTGATATTCCCAGGTTTCTGGGTGGGGGTTTATAGTGAGGGCATTTGATAATGTTACAAGGAACCCCTAGAAATTTGAATTTGGCCTTTCTTGCTGCCAGCAACCTCTCAAAGGAGGCTTACATAATGTTAGAATTGGAATTGTATCTTCATTTCTAAATCCTCATCTATTCCACCCTCTAACTCCCTGGATGGGCAGTACGTGGCCCTTTAGGTCATATTCCCTGGCTAGCTGAGATTATTAACAAACCCAGATGGCATCAAGGGGCTGTCATCAGCTCCTTGGTTGTCTGCCCAGCCTCTGGGTTTAGCACAGATTAGATCAGACTAGAAGCTGCTTTAAGTCGTATTCAGAGGAATTCATGAAAAGTACTGCAGAGAGCTGTCAATTTAAATAAACTTCAACACAGACTGGAGTCCTGGTCTGCTACTGTGAGCATGAGAATAGCTGCAAACTTCCCCTCTTGGCTCAACTTGGGAAAAGGTCACAGTAGGCAGCTCAAAATCCACATTCATGTTTTTGAGCTCAGAGGCTGATCTCTCACAAAGCATGAGGCTTTTCCTAGTAATCCTGCAATAAACCTGCCTGACCTCTAGTACAGAGCCAAGTCACCACGAAGCCTGAGTCCCTTCCCTGATTCCATGAGAAACCGAATTGGGAGACGATGGCTCTGGTGCAGACAGAAAGCTGTTGTAAACCGGGCATCGACAGATGCAGAGAGCATGAAACCATTGTATGTATTGATAGGTTGATACCCAATACCAATATGGATCTACCAAGCATGCTGCAAAGTGGTCCATGAGAGCAATCAGTTTAATGACCAGAATCAGTGGGAATTATGGAGCTAAAACCATGCACAATTTACTGAAGTCCTTGATGCATTTGCAGCACCATGCAGGATGTGGAGCGCTGCACTTCCTGGATGCGACTAGCACAGCACAGCAGAACGTGCATCCTCTTTCTTTCAGATCTGCTTGGTCTGGATTAGCGAGGTCCCAGCTGGAACCTGGCTCGGCTGTGTCCAGGCTGCCTGGAGAAGGCTGAGAAAAATGCCAGCATGGCTCACCCCATGAGCTTTCTTCACCACCTGCCTACCGATGAGGAGGGCTCAATGCTGTGTGTCAACCGAGTCACAATTGAAGTCTTGCCTAAACAAACCAGACCTAATCACGAGATGCCAACACCTGCGTTTTCTTCCAGGGGAATCACCACGTCGCTTGGTCTATACTCTTTGATCCCAGAAGGGGACAGAGAGGTTTCAAACAGGAATACAGATGGGTGCCTTGTTACTAAATGATCATACTGGGACTGAGAGCTGCGACTGAGGAGGATTTGATCTCTGCTTTAGGCCATTTTATTGCCTTACACCTGCAGCAGCATTAGCTATGCTGTCCTATGGTTCTCGTTCTAGGTCACAGGGCTTCTGGGCTCATTTCAACACATGGATAGGTGATACAACTACTGCTGACCAGCTGAACGCAGTCTTGTCCCTTTGAAGTTTCTCTGGTTCCTCAAAGAGGGGTCCTTTTCTAGTAACTCGGTGTTATTTAATAGAATTCATTTGTGGGGCAGGAAATTCAGGAGAAGAAATTTGCAGGAGAGAAGAGATCTGAACGAGAGAGGATCATTCTCATATCAGATCACCGTGGCTTGGGATTTTCTACTGTCGTTAGTAGATACAGAATATTGAAGTGCATGTAGGATGCTGGGGGCTGGGTACTTCCAGCACAAGCAAAATCATCTGCTCCAAACTATTTCCTCTGTCACAAAGTTCAGAAGAGCGGTAGAAAGGGACAGCTAATGGCACTGCCAAAAATGTGATGCTAGCGAAGCTGGAGGAATTACACCCCCGACAGTGCTCGTGTCCCTTGTGGAACAACGTGGATGTGTGGAAGTTGCAATAATGCTACTGGCTCACCTTTCAGGGTTGTTGGTTGTAGCCGTGTTGGTCTAAGGACACAGGCAGGCAAGGTGCTGTGAGTAGATGTGATATCTTTTATTAGACTAACTAAATAGTTGGGAAAAGTGTTCTTTGCAAGCTTTTGGGCACAAGCACCCTTGTTCAGGCATTGGAGAGTGTCTGCAGTTGGCTACCTTGAAACTCTTCAAACCCTTCACAAATAGTGCAAATGCCACCTGTGCACAGATCGTAGTGTGTTAACCCTGCAGTAGCATTTTGCTGACTCTGCCGGTGCACCTGTAAGGCAACGTGTCCTGTGTACTCCTTCATTTGTGTGGTGGTGCAGGTTTGCAGCAGGGGTGAGGCATGGCAGAATTTGGACTAGGGTTAAGGAACAGAAGACAAAAGGACTTGAACCCTGCTGTCCTCTTCGTCCTTACACGCTTCTGTTCCAGACTGTCGCCTTTACCAGCTATTCTTTGCTTTCTATCTCCGACTGATTACAGCTCACTGGTCTGTGCGTTGCTCTTCTGTAATTCAGATATAGTGTTCACTTCTCTGCAGCTGCCCAGCTTAGATCTTTGTGTCTGATGCAGCCATGAACTTCCCTTTGCAAAGTCAGGCTGGTTTTCCTTGCTTGAGAACCACAGAGAGACTTGGAATTTGTTCAAGTCTGAAGAGATCTTTACATTATTCTTGTTGTTGTCATTGCTTTACACTGCAGGATAATGGGGAGAAAATGGTGGCTAATAGGGGCATATTGTTATGGATATCACTGTGGTACTACCTTTGAGCTCCTGTTGTGCTCCAGAACATCATTGTGTTCAGCACTGAATGCACACGGCATGAGATAGGCAGTCCCCAGCCCAAAGTGCTGGCACTGATTTAGCAGTATGAGCTGCTTTATTTGGGCTCTTCTTCCATTTTATTTTCCCCTATGAAACCTAAATGAGGCAAGACCCTGGTTCAGGGTTGATCTACAAACTTGAGGTTCTTGCCAGTTTTGCTGAAAGGTTGCTTGAATCTCACTTGACTTTGGGTAGGGTTTTCAGTGAGAAACGCAAACCACTTTCGCCAGGCCTGGTGAGGGGAATGCATAGGGTTCAACACTGCATGGGTTATCCTAGCTTTAACTCACAACTGTGCTCAGTGGTTTCAGCTACAGTGTGCTTTGCCAGGATTCAAAAAGACCAAGACTTTAAATGGGCAAATTGGGCAATGCCCAGGAAATTTACTGAAGCTAACTGAAAATAAGCTTACGGCACTGCAGACTGGCCATGCAGCCTGCTGGCGGGAAGGGGGCTGCCGGCAGAAAGGGGCATCCAAGATGGCTATCATCTTGCCCCTCACCACTGATTGGCAGAGAGGGCTGCCTGTCATGTAGCCCCACCAACAATTGGTGGTGAGGGGTGGGGTTGCATG